TATTTAAACGGCTAGCCGGCTAATAAGTATAGAGCCCGGTTCTAGCTACCCGGGCTAATAAGCGCGGGGATAATAGGGCTAGTAGGGCTAGCACGATTAATAGAAAAAGGTAGGGTAGAGCTAGCGGCACGGGCCCTATAGTATAGAAGCCGTTAATAGGGCAACGCCGCGCCGCGCTTAAGGGAGGGCATTATATAAGAGTCTTTAACTATTATAGGTTATAGGCTTAGGCTACGGCCTAAGCCGTATAGTTATATACGGAGGGCCGGATCCTATATATATATATATAGGCTAGCCGCGTATAGGAGAGCTCTATATAGCCTATTAATATTATCCTATAAACGGCACCTACGCGCACGCTTTTACCTACTCCGTAATATTATCTTAGATAAAGGGTCCTTATTTATAAGTAAGTTCTAATTAAATCTTTATTTTATTTTATAAGTAAAATATAAGCTATTAATAGTATTTTACTTATAAACTAATAGGTAAATAAAATAAATAAACTAAGCTATATAGTACTACTTAAAATACTTTACTAACTTAAAATAAACTAACTAAGCGTTACTCTTATATATTACTTAATTTATATATAATAATATAAAGAATATAATAACTTGGTTATTGCTTAATAAAGCGTTAATAAGTTACTAACTAAACTTTTATATTAATATTAAGGACGATATTATTTAAAAGGGGGTACTTAAAGTAAGAGTAAGAGTTACTAAGCTATAAGAGCTATAAAAAAGGCTTAAGGAAAACTAAAAAAAAAAGCTATTAAATTATAAGCGAAATACTACAATTTAAGGTACTAACTACTTATACTAAAAGTAAGAGACCTTATAGTATTATTAATAAAGAACTTATACCTTAAGAATAAAAAAAGAAAACTCTTACCTAAGTATATTAAACTATTTTAGGTCTTATAAGCTATTAAAAAGTAAGTATATTATCTTATACTCTTTAAGAAGTACTTATACCTTTATAACGTTTTTTATATTAGTCTCTTAGAGCTATAAAAAGAGCGTAAAGGTACCTATAAAGATAGTAAAACCCTATTAATACTAGACTTAAAGGATAATAAAGGTAAATAAGAAGTTTAAGAGATTAAAAACTAAAAGAGATCTAAGGGTAATACCTTTTTTCTTATTAAATAGAAAGATTAGCTAGCTAAGTATAACTAATAGGTCGATACTAAAGATATAGTAAGTAGCTAAGACCTTATTAAAGAATATACTACTCGCTTAACTAAGAAAAAGAGGTATAAGACTAAGTAAGGTAAGGAAACTTATTAGCGTAAGGTAATACTATTAAATTAGTAATAAATCCCTATTAAATCGTTATTAACTTATTAATATATTAGTATACTTAAACGTCTTATAACTATATATAAAATAATAAAATAGGAAAATAAAGGAAAACTATTTATACTACCTATTAAATATTATTAAGGAAAATAATACTAAACTATAACTTTATTAAGACCTTAATAATAAAGGAGAGAAAGATAGTTATAACTAAATAAAAGAAAGATAAGACCTATTTATTACTTTTAACTACCCTTCCTTTTTACTAGTATAGTAGGAACTAACTAAGGCGCCCCTTTTACTATACTAAATACCTTTAAAAATACTAGAACTACTTTATCCTCCGCTCCTTTCTTATCCTTTACGTTAAGACCTATCTTTATTAATATAGTACTTACCTTAGCCTTAGTAAATAGTAAGGCGTATTACTAAGAAGTATAGCCTATATTACTATTAATAAAGTAGAGTTTTAACTAAGATTCCTAGGCTTAGTACTCTAAGCTTATATAAGCGATATTAAATAAGGGCGCTAGGTTAAAGTAAATAATAAGCTTATAACGCTTATTAATTAGCGTATAATAGTTAGTACGCTTAACTTAATATATCGTTAAGCGGTTACTAATAAAAAGGTTAGATAAAAACTTATAATAGTAAACTTCTATATACTTATAGTCTTAAAGGACTTATAATAAGCTATCTTAGCGGTATTAAAAGCCTTAGCTAGATACTATACTATAATAGCGAGATAGCGCTAATTAGCCTCCTTAAAAATAAGTATACTTACGTTTAAGCTATTATCCTTAGTATCTTTATTACTAGTCTTTAGCTTATTAAGCTTATATAGGTACTTAATAATAATAACTATATTAGCTTAGTTACTAAATATAAAAGTAATAGCTTTAAGAAAGACTAGCTTATTAATTATAATATTTAAAGTTAAAAAGAAACTTACTTAGTTATAGGTTATAGTATATTTATAGTACTACTTATAGTATATTAAGGAAACCCTTAAGAAAATATAGCTAATTAAAAGCACCTTAATAAGCTTAGGCTTAGTTATATTATACTCTTTAATAACTATCTTAAAATAATATATATACTAAAGCTTATAAAAGATAACCTCTTAGGCTTTAACTAAGTAAGCTTTAGCCTTAAATTAAGTATACTTCTTTATAAGAGTGCGACTACTTTATACTACCGCTTAAGTGCCCTTATCTTTAGCGCTACTATTCTTAGGTTTATTAATAAAAAGAGTTAAATCGTAGCTATCTTTATTATTACTATTATTATTATCTTAGCCCTTATTTAGCTAAGTATTAAGATAGCCTTAGCTCTTATTTAGCTAGGCCTTATTATTAATATTAGCTTAATTATTTTAAAGAGTAGCTTAAGCTATAATCTCTTATTAGCTAGAGCCGCCCTATTAAAATAAAGTAACTAGGTTATTAGTACTTACCTAAGAGCGCTTAAGTATAATCTCCTTACTAGTATTAGTATCGCTAATAAGGGTAATAGACTTATAAGTTTCTTAGCTTATAAAAGTAAGCTTATTAATAGTTAAAGTTAAGGTATTTAATAGGGTAATAAGGGCACGACCCTTACTAATATTAGGTCTTAAACTAAAAGTCTCTTAAAACTAAGATTCTCTTATACCTTTCTTAGCTTTTTTTACTAAAAGGGAACTAGCGTACTATAAGACTTCTAAGCTAATCGCTTATATTTTAAGGGCGAACCCGCTACTACTTACTCTTATATATAGTATAGGAAATTAATATTATAGTTTTTTATCTTCTTTAATATAAAAGGTATTATTATTAATAAATCTTTAATAAAAAGTAATATAAAAAGGTATAAAAGATTAATAAAAAAAAGGTATAAGGCTTTATAGTAATTATAAGTAAAAGAGTTAAAGAAGAAAAGAAAATAAAAAAAGTAAGAGATATATATATATACTTTTTATATTATAGCTTCGCGCTTAATATATAAGTAATACTATAATAGTTACTTAGTAGTAACTATTAATATAATAACTATTAATATTATAGAGTATAGACTAATATATACTTATCTAAGTATATATATAGAATATATAATTAAAACTACCTCTCTTCTTAACTAAATATATATAGTATAGTAAAAGTAATATATATTAAAAATATAGCTAAGATATTTATATAGAAAGGGAGATAATTATAAGAGTACTATTAAAAGGTATAAGCTAATAAAGCACTTAGGTATATAGTACTAATATATTAGTAGGGTATTAGTAGGGAATTATACCTACCTTACTTATATATTATAGACTACTTATTACTTTAATAAAAAAAGAGAAATCCTTTTTTTATAAGTTTTCGTCTTATAATAAGGAGAATATAATATATATAGTATAGTTCTTTTAGCTATCTTTACTACCTAACTAATTATACTATAATATATATTCCCTTATAAGCTTAGTTTATAAGGAGGGGAGATACGCGCTATATATATATAAAAGGCTTAGGCTAAGGACTTAGTCGCCTTAGTTTAAACTAAACTAAAGTAAGGTAATTTTTAAGGATAGTATTAAACTATAAATAATTTACTTACTATTAAGGGCTATAAAGGCTAAAGCGTTATAAGACCTAAGTTTAATTAAATTAAAGTACCTTATAATAATAGTAAAGGACTTTAATATCTATTACCCGCTCTAAGATAAATATAATAAAACCTTAGATAGTATAATATAATTTATATAAGAGGTAATAAGACTATAACTTAAACTTACTACCTTAAAAAAGGAGTATATAAGATTCTTTTATAGTTAAAAGGATAGTACTATTAACCTAGCTTAAGTAATACTAAATACTAGGATATAGTATACTAAGCCTAACTTAAACCTAACTAGGTTAAACTATACCTATTACGACTACGGTTAGCGGGCCGTAGGAGAGCCGGCTACGTTTACGTAATAAAGCGGCTCGGAATAATAGTTAGGACAAGAAGTTACTTAGGCTTAGCTTACCTAGAGCGTACGTAAGCTAAGTAAGCCTTATATAAATAGATTACTATTTAAGAGTATAGCTTATAAGTAAGCTATAGTAAGCTACGAAGGGGATTATAGCTAGGACCGTAATCTAAGGACAGTCTCTATAGGTATATATAGCTACCTACTTTTACTCCTTTAAATAGATAGCTCTCTAGCTTTTTAATATAGATCTTTATTACGATTCTATCTTTAATTCTAATTACCTAGTTATAGTCTACGGTCTATAACCTCCGACTTATTACTAACGTAATATACTTATTATTACTTAGACCACACCCTATTATATCTACTAATATAAACCCCTCGATAGGTTTATCCCTTAAGAATATGTAACGGTCTCAACTGAGTGTGTTGACAACTAGCTGAGCGACTGCGACGAGTATCCTAAAGCTAAGGAGAAAAGAAGAAGAAAAGAAAAGAAAGGAAAGCTCTCGAAGATGGCACGAGCTTATAAGCGGAGCTCCGGTGGGTCTTGTCGAGAGCGGAGCCGAGACCCTCACGGGCTCAGCCCGTTACAATAACCCCCTCCTTCCCTCCCCGTTTCGATCGTTTCGATTGGGGTGGTTTCGATCCAACTTTCCCATGAACTTCTTCATACCTAGCCAGTGCTATTGTGTCTGCGACGTACTTGACTGGCTCCCACGTCGGACCTATCCATCCGACCCATTTCACCAACACTTTCCACTCTCTCCGACTTTCTTCCTGTCCAGAATCTCTTCCACTTCCCACAGCTCGCCATCGTCCGTCAAAATGGCCGGTGGGCGGTAGTCATCCGACGTCTGTGACGGTAGCGGATCGTCCGCTGCTAAGCGTAAGAGCGACACGTGGAACACGTTGTGTATTCCCGGAGGCGTGTCCAGCCTGCACGCGTGTGACCCAATGGTCTCCAGGACGGTGTACTTGGCCGACAGCCAATCGAGCTTCTTGGATGGCCGATTGGATCGGATGTTGCGAAGTCGCAGCCATACCTTGTCTCCAGGCTTGAACTGGTCTGACGGCTGTCTTCGCGAATTGGCGTTCTTCTCTTGCTGCTCTTGCGCTGACGCAATTGCCGCCTGGGCCCATTCCGTTGCCTCTCGAAATCGTTGCACAATGCTTTCAGCCCTGGTCACTGGGGACCTTCCGTCCGTCCGTAACTTCTCCTTGACTTGTATCGGGTCAACATGATACCCATGCGTGATAAAGAACGGGCTCAGGCCTGTCGACGTCGAGTTGTGATTGTTGATGGCCATCATGGCCGCTGGCAACAGCTCTTCCCAGTTATCCTGAGCATAAGCAGCAAAGATCCTCAGATATCTCTCGACTTCCTGATTCGCCCTTTCTGTTGCACCGTCAGTCTCGGGATGCCACGCCGTAGACAATCTTTGCTTCACGCGTAGCAGCTCGCAGAGCCTCTGCCATAGTCTACTGGTGAATTGCGTGCCACGGTCAGTGACGATCGCGCGCGGCACGCCATGGTGTTGCACCACGTTCCGTAGCAATGCTCTGGCCGTCGTCTCGGCCGTGATGTCCTTCAATGACTCAAGAACGACACTTTTGGACAGTCTGTCCGTCACGACCATAAGGTTGGTCGAACCGTTCGACTTGGTTGGTGGCAGGTCTGTCACAAAGTCAATTGACAGCTCCGACCAGATCCTGTCTGGAATAGGTAGCGGCTTCAATAAACCGCGACGCTTCTCTCGCCAAATGTTGCTTCGGCCACACACATCACAATTTCTCACAAATTGACGCACGTCTGAATCGAGGCCTGGCCAATAAAACTTGCGGCTCAACAAGGACTTCAGCATGTCCCGTCCGGGGTGTCCTGCAAGCGTTGAGTCATGCGTCTCCTGCATAAGCCGCGTGCGCAGGGTTCGTGGTTCGGCACCCAAATTCGCTCTCGCCAGCAGAGCCGCTGTCCATCGTCAATCGAGCATTCCGAGAGCATCACGGGCAGTCCCCAATGCGACGGCAGACGCCTCTCGCCTTGCTGTACGGCCTTTCGGATGAGCCAATAACGATTGTGCTTCTTGACACCTTCGTCCCATAACTTCTGCAGTTCCGGGTCCGAGAAGGGTTTTCGATTGAGTCGTCTTGGTCAGTTGTTGCGTCATCAGGTTGATCCGTGTCGCCCTTGGTGACATAACCGCTCTTGACTTTTGTCACCAGGCCACCCTTGTTACGTTGCAGCAGCTGAACACGTCGTCCTTGCAACCGATCATCTTCGGCGCTGTGCGGCATGTCCTGTTCTCGTCGAGACAGCGTGTCCGGTACGACGGCTTCTTTGCCCGGTCGATGCTTGATGGTGAAGCTGTACCGCGATAGCGTCTCAGCCCATCGCGCCTGACGTTCACTCAGTTGCTGCTTCTTGGTGAAGTAACGGAGGTTGAGATGATCCGTCAAAACGGTAAAGGACTTCACACTCCTCAATTCGGCGTCCCAATGCTCAAGGCAGCGAATGATCGCCAGCAGCTCTTTATCGTGGATTGGGTAGTTGCACTCCGCCGGTGCGTTTTCTTTGAGAAGAAGGCCACAGGCCGCATGATGCCGTCATCGCCCTTTGCGAGAGCGCCCTCCTGTGACATAACCGGATGAATCCGTCTCCACAATCGTCTCTCTATCCGGATCCCATTGCGCAAGGACCGGCGCACTGGTCAGAAGAGCCTTCAACTCCTCGAAGGCCTTGTCGCACTCCTTCGACCACGCAAACACCGCATCCTTCTTTGTTAACGCCGTTAGAGGCGCGGCGATGTTGGAGAATCTGGGAATGAATTGCCGGTAATAGTTGGCAAACCCCAGAAAGCTTCTGACGCCTTTGACAGAACGGGGTCGCTGCCACTGCTGAATTGCCTGCACCTTCTCCGGGTCCACGCGGATACCTTTCCGGCTTCGACGATGAAGCCCAGGTACTTGACACTCTTTGCCTCAAAGTCACACTTGTCGATATCAATCTGCAGGCCTGCATCTCGCAGTCGAGCAAGGACCTGCCTGACTTTGTTGCGATGATCTGCGAGCGAACCGCTCGAGTAGATCAAGATGTCGTCAATGTAAGCGGAACAGAACTCGTCGAGGAAATCTCGCAACGTGTGGTTTATGTAACGCTGAAACGTTGCGGAGCACCCGTCAACCCGAATGGCGTGACAAGCCATTCGTAGAGTCCGTAACGTGTTCTGAATGCTGTCTTCCACTCGTCTCCCTCCTCGACGCGAATCTTGTGAAATGCTGCGATAACGTCAAGTTTGGTGAGCCACTTGGCCTTGGACAGCGACCGCAAAGTTTCCTCGATCAACGGCAAGGGATATCGGTCTTTCTTGGTGATCGCATTCAATCCTCGATAGTCCACGCAAAGCGCAGACCACCACCGGGCTTCCTCACGAACAAAACTGGTGCTGACGCTGGAGAACTACTTGCTCGAATGAAACCCTTGTCGAGTAGCTCAGTGAGAGTCTTTCGCAGAACAATGAGCTCTTCTCGTGACATGCCGTACAATGGTCCCCACGGCGGTTCTTTCTCCTTGTCATCAGGACCTCTCTAACTGAATCTTGTGATCACACCCCGGACGACGCGGTGGAAGTTGGTCCGCTTGGTCGCGGTCGAAGACGGATAGGTACTCGTGGTAGTGACGGGGCAGCTTCTCTCGGGTCTGACTTCTTCCTCGGAGTCAATGCCTTCTCAATGTCTTTCAGGCTTGCGGCGAAGATCCGCACTCCATCGTCTCGATGCTTGAACTTTCTTGCTCGGCGAACCATTCCGGCGAACACGAACGCCGCCTGTCCTCGTATGTTGCACCGTTCCTCCTCCTTCGGGTCTCGGCCTTTCACCCAATGGTCGTGCGTCCCGATATGCAAGAGGTTCTGCGATAATCGCAAGGTGACATCCTCCTGGTTCAACCACTTCTTGCCCAGAATCACAGGATCGGTCTGGTCTCGCACAACGTAGAAAAAAGCTCTTTTCTTCTGGTACCCGTCGATATCGAAGTCGAAGTAGGTCACGGCACAGATGGCCTCGGGTGAGAATGTGTTGACCTGCTCCAACGCTCGAGGTTTAATCGGAATACGCGGCAGGTGAAGCTTGCGGGCAAGGCGCTCACTGATGGTCCCATAACACAGGCAACCACAGTCAACGAAGGCCGTGGTGAAATACTCTCGATTGATACCGAAATTTACGTAGAGGCCTTCACAGTCCATCTCGTCCTTCTGAGTTGCCCATTCCGCCTCAGCCTTTGCGCGCTCCTGACGGCGATTTTCGTCAGGAGCTACTCGTTTTCCGAATGGTCATCGGAGGTATCCCCGCTAGAACTCTCCGCGGGCTCTTGGTGCTTTGCTCTCGAGCTTCTTGTCTTCTCTTCGACACGGACCTTGACTCTCTGCTGCCGCCGCTCCCGGGACACTTGGCCGCAAGATGGCCAAGCTTCCCGCACTCGTAACATTTGCGCTCCTCCAACGGAACAAATTGCTTTTCCTCCGGGGCCCTCCTGCCGTTTATCAACCGATTTGCTTTCACGGGTTCCCAATCCATCTGATCATCGGACGGGGACGACGTGGTTGGCGATCCGGGTGACGGGGGCTTTTGTCGGGACTCGAGCGGTTCGGATAAACGACCATACTCCTTTCTTGACCTCTGCTCGCGGCCTTGTTGTCGTTGGTGGAAATTGAGGCTATCTAGGCGCGAGCCAATCGTCAAGAGTAGCTCGGCGTAGCTGTTGAAATCCTTCGGGAGACTGACGGCACTGACGAGACTCGACTTGAGCCTATTATTAATTGCTCCTTCCAAGTAATTGATTTGCACCACGTCGGCCCACTCGCCACCGCCACTATCGGCAAGCTCTTTCTCGAACTTTGGGAAGAAACTGGCGAAACTCTCATCAGGCTTCTGCTTCAACGATCGAAGTCGATCCAGTGCTCGTGCCTTTGCGTTCGGGTCCCCGTACCGACGGTTCAAGTAGTCGAGAAACAGATCTGGGAGCGAGCACCATCGATACCGCCCTGTTCGTAATAAGCAGCGGCCATGTTCTGGGCTGTTCCCGCCAACCGGGAGTACACATAGGCGAAGAGTGCTTCTTTATTGTCGAATGCCTGTCGGTCCACAGCCAATTTCGCTTTCATCTCTAAGAACCAGGGACGGAAGTTTTCCTGGTTCCATCAATTTCGGCGGATCAGGCAAGGTTGGTTTTACCCTCTTTGATGGGATTCTTTCGGATGTCTCGATCGATTGAGGCGTGTTGTCGGACATCGGTTCGATAGGAGCGACTGGTTCATTTGCCGGAGTCGGAGTTGAGACGGCTGTTTGGAGGATTCGGATCTGCGATCGCATCTCTTCGCGTTCGGCCTCTTGGCTTGCACACACACTTTCTAGTTTGTCCATCACTGCAGCCAGGGCTTGCATCATCGATTGAGGCTCAAAGAACCTTGCTGGGAATCGATTGCCTCCATGACTGAAGATTTTCTCCTCGTCTCTCAGGACTGAGGGCGACTTGATCACACAGCAAGTCTGATACGGAAGGGATATCTCGACAACGGTCGAACGCTATCAACGCCTCGAAGGCTCCTTCCTACACGGCTGGACGTTCTGCACAGGGCTTCTAGTCCAGCTGCTGCCGTCCACACTGGGAGCCAAGCAGCAATCACGTACTTCTCGCTCAACCGCACGCCGTACGGAGAGCAGATTGACGCTCCACGTCCTTTGCTCGGGAGATGAGAGCTACGCGACGCGAGCCAAGCTGGCTTTGGCGCCGTACACACACGCACTTTCGTCGCGGGCGTTCCACACAGGATTGCCCAAGCTACTGCCACTCCGCGTACCCACAAAGGGAACTGAACAGCGCTGCCAATTGATTGTGATCAAAGGCTTTAACGATGAAAGCGGAGCTTTAGGATAATGTAACGGTCTCAACTGAGTGTGTTGACAACTAGCTGAGCGACTGCGACGAGTATCCTAAAGCTAAGGAGAAAAGAAGAAGAAAAGAAAAGAAAGGAAAGCTCTCGAAGATGGCACGAGCTTATAAGCGGAGCTCCGGTGGGTCTTGTCGAGAGCGGAGCCGAGACCCTCACGGGCTCAGCCCGTTACAGAATAATACTAGTCGTTATACGTTAAAAGCTCTTATTTAGTATAATACCGCGTTACTTTAAGTAATATCGTAACTATTAATATACCTATATAGTAAACTAGATTAACTAACTCTAGAGCTACTATATCGCCTTAGGATATAATACGCGAGATTATTACCCTTTAATATAAGGTATAGTTACTTAGGAATAAAGGAAGCAACGGATAAGTTAGGGACCTTAGAGAAGTAGTTAAACTAAAATAGCTAGGACTATTTAACGGTACTTATAATATACTTCGAGACTTTCTTACCTAACTTAAGGCCTACTACCGGTTTTACCTTATAAAACTCTTAGACCTAGTCGAAAAGGTACTCTACGTAGGAAATTATTTATTTAGAATAATACTCGCTTAGTTTAAACCTATTATAAGGGACTTTCTTAATAACTAACTAACGCAATAAGATAACGAGATAGATAAAGTCTTTGCTAGTTTCTAAGGATTCGAAGAAGCTATTATAAAGGTATTTAGAATAACTAACGAGGAATAAGAAGCTAAATAAAAACTTCGAGAACTTTAATAAAGGATCTTAATATCGGATTATACTATAAAGTTCCGTTAAGTTACCTTAAAGCTTAATTAGGACGACGAACCTCTTATATTACGATTCTATAATAGGCTTAAAGAAGAAGTTAAGGACGAGCTTTATAAGGAAAATCGACCTAATAACCTCTCGGACTATATTACTATAGTAGTACGAATTAATAATAGATAATATATATAACGCTAAGAAAAGAAATAAGGAAGAGGAAACTAAAACCCTTTTTATAAGAATAACTTTAACTAACGCGCTAACTATAAAAAGAAGCGTAAAACTCTTATTACCTATACTTATATAACTAACCTAAGTAAGATAGATCTAGATATAATATAGAAAAGTAAAGGAAAGTATTTTAACTATAGGAAACTTAGATATTACTCTAAAGAATATAGATAACCTTATAAGGAGAAGAAAACCTACTAGGCACTAGCCCTAGAAGGTAAGAAATACCTAAACGCTACTAATAAATAGGAACTAAAGTATAAACTCCTTAGTTAGACTATATACTACGACGACGAATATATAGTATACCTAAGCGATAAGAACGGTACTAGATAGTTCTTAAAGCTACTAAGGAAAACCCTTATAATAATATAATAAAGGGATCTTAAAATATAGAAATAAGTTAAATTCGTAGAACTAAAATACCCCTATCTTAAAGGAGTCTCTTAAGACTAGATTAAGAAGAACGGCAAACGATTCTAAGAGGATATATAAAATAAAAATTAATAATAACGATAGGTAGTCTATAAGTAATATAATAAAGAAGATATAGATATAGCCCTTATACTTACGAAACTTAGATAATAACCTAAAAAGGAATAATAAAGTATCGACGATATAAGCTCTAAAGAATAAGAAATACCTAGAGAAATAGAAGATAAGAATAAACTTATACTACTATCCTCGCTATTAAGGGAAAATACTATAATTAAAGAATACGCTCTATACTCTAAAGAATTTAAAGAAATACTTAAAATTAAAACCTAATAAACGCCTTAAATTCTTATAGAAAACTAATAAGCTATATTAATTCGATATTAACTAGCACTACGTAGAGGAGACTATACTATAGCTATTGCTATAGTCGATACCTTTATAGCTCTATAATAAGAATAGTAACTATAAGGAGAATTTAAAGACGATCTATAAATACTACTTACTTATAAGTACTATAAGTATATTTTATAGATATTATATATCTACCTAGATTATATAATATACTTTTAAATAAAAGCACGATATAACGCTTTCTTAGTTAGGTTTAAGGGATAAGTACTTTCGAAACCCTACCTAAGTATAAAACTAAACTACTAGAAAATCGATTAACGCTACCTAAACGACTAAGTTATATTATTAGAACCCGATTACGGTATACTACTTAAATACCGTGATAATTACGGTTTATTAATAAGATATCTTTCGGAGATATATAAAATCTATAAATACGCTAAAATAAAGGAATAGTATAATACTACTTACTCTAAGGTATTTAAACTATTAATCTTTTAAAGACTTATATAATAAATTAAATATAATAAAGAAGATTATAATAAATACGTATACCTAAACTATAGAGTTTATAAATATAAAAAAGCATAAGTATAGTATAAACGATATAACGGTATACTAAAAGATTATTAGTAATATATATAAAGGCTATAAGCTATATTTAACTAAGGAAGAATCGATATAGAAATACTATATATAAAATAGAAAGATATAGAACGAAAACTTAACCTTTAGTATAAAAATAAATAAAATTATAAAGTATAGTACGTAATTAACTATAAAGTAGTATAATATAAACGATATAGTATCGAGAAATAAGAAA